CATCATTCGCAAACTCCCCAAAGCCTCAGAGCCAGACGGGATATATAACGAAATCATACGGGCAATTTTTAAAGGCTGTACGCCAGAAATAATAATTTCCCTTCTTAATAAATGCCTCTCACTCAAGGTCTTCCCAGACACCTTCAAAAAAGGGCAAATTATTCTATTTTCCAAAAAAAAAAAAAAAAAAAAGATCAGGGCCCAAAGCATCCGGCCTCCTATCGCCCCATCAACCTTTTGCAGCAATAATCAAAGTATACGAACAAGCCATTGCTGGTCGCCTTAGACACAATTTTCATGAAGCCAAAAAAATTAGCCGCAATTAGCAGTGAATGTTGCAGTTCAACAAATTCTTGAAACAAAAGCAGAAAATTTTCATTCAATACTGCTTTGTCTAGATCTAAGCAAAGCATTAGATCCTCTATGGTGGCCATCAGGATTCCAAGCACTTAGAGAGTCAAACTTCCCCCAAAATTTCTTCTATGTAAGGGCCAACTACTTTCGCAACAGAAGAAGTATAATCATGCATAATAAAAAAGATCCCGGAGAGGGGCTGAAAATTATGCAACCAGATTAACAAATGAAAAAACTTAATAAAGCATTAATGCAATAACAAACACTTAGAACATTAGATGGTCACAAACCAATACTGAACTCTCAAATGTTATAATTCTTGCCAAATGGACCAAAAAATGTTTAACAGTGTAAGTATCTTTTAATTTTATAGGTGAATTGTAACGCAAATATCCCTACCTATTCTATGTATGTTGTAACTCTGTGTATGTTCCATGTAATTCATGTTTAATTTTAAATAAACGTTTGCACCTGTAGATGAAATGCACGGTGCGCCGCACGCGGTTCAGGACCTGGACCTCTGGCATGGACCAAGCCCCCAATGCGTGTAGTCAAGTCTCACGTGAATCTGTACCCTTTCCCGATTGCATGTTAGAGCGTGGTTGAATTGGGCCTGTGAACATCGCAGTTGGACACCAGAGCAGTGGGGCCACGTAAACTTTACGGATGAAACTCCATTGAACATCCAGAATGATTTCCGAAGGGCACGGCGAGAGCCAGGGACACGCTATCAGGGGCCAAACATCGCCAAAAGAAACCATTACAAACGAGAAGGCTTACTTGTATGGGAGCTAGGATAACAATGAATGACCACCTCGACCTCTGTGTGATCCCTGGTGGTTCTGCCACAGCCGTCCGATATCGCGACAAAATGCTACACCTTCTTGTGCATCCTTTTATCGCTGCAATGGGTACCGAAGCGATGATAACGCCCGCTCGCATAGATCTCGAGAGGTGCGGAGTTATCTAGAAAGCGAAGCCATTCCACATCTGCCGTGGCCTGCTAGATCACCGGACCAGTATCTCATACAGAATGTGTGGGAAACGTTGGGACCACGGATAAGCAGGTTGCCAGTATGCCATCAGGCACCCTCCATGAGCTCCAATATGCTTACTACAGGAAGAGGCGCTACTACCACACTAAGCTATCAATGACACTCTTACCAGCTTGCCTCACCGTTGTCAAGCATGCATTTCACCCAGAGGATATCATACTCGTTATTAGCGTGAGGTTTCCATTGCCCATTCTTCCGACGACCCATTTGGTCTTCCGCGATGTGATGGTTGTAATACATGTGTTTCTGTACGTCTTTGCTTTATAGTCTGCTATATGGTCTATTAATGCCACACCAACCTCTTGGATTACTTACCCGCATATCCATTAATTAGTTTTTTGTTTTATTCCGTGTTTTGCCTTTGTTGCTTATTTTTTTAGCAGGAGTGCACTTTCATCTTCCACGTGCGAGGGTTTAGGCATTCAGTAAAATGTAAGATATTTAACTTTCATAAATAATCTGTGTAATATTCAATAACAAACAAAGTGATTTAAAAGCAATAAACTCAGTTCTTAAGACTATTTTTCTATTTATTAATCTGATTGGTTTAAATAAAAGTGCATTTAAATTATGAGGTGTTTAATCAGAAATATAAAATATTTTTATGAAATGACATTAGCTAGAATCATTAAAACCATTATATATATATATTTCCTTTTAACGGTAACTATTTTAGGCGGCTGGTCGTGCAAGTGAATAGTACAATAAATGATCTTTTTTTCCCCAAATTCGTTAAGATGTAACTATATTATAATTGTTTGCATTTAAATAACTGACATCCAGTTTCTTCTCTTCAGGCTCACTAAGGTGATCAAGGTAATATTCATCTTCCCTTGCATCACGCAGGTAATATTCATCTTCCCTTGAATCACTCTAAACGTAGTACTTATTGCCGTCACATGAAAATTATCTTGTAGAATTCCGTATTCATCTTTAAATTTCATAAATAAATAAGTTTTGGATTCGACGCCAGATTCAGTTATCTTATCCACTGGGTCACTAATGAGATAATGAATTGTCAGACGAAATTTAATTGGGAAGAAAATTGTTTTTCACTCGATGAAGTATTAAACAAAATTACCAAAGAGCTTCACGTTCAGGAGGGAATTTCATAATTTCAGGAACTGAATGGAATCGGGTTTTTATTTACATGTTTTAGTTTATGAATATAAAAACCCCCTTTATTCAAGTTTTAACATTTATCAACATTTTCTATGCTTTTTCTCATTTAATTTATAAAGCATATTAAAAAATCTAAATTTAAATTAATATATAGGGATTTTTTAGTTTTAAAAAGGAAGGCGAAGGAAATGATCGTCTAGCAATGACGAAAGTGAGTGAGTGGGGCAAAATAGCTTGAGAACCCCCTGGTATAAATATTACTTTGATTCCGTGGCTTTTCACTACTAGAATGTCTAAACCATGAATTCCCAACCTTTTTCCTGCATCGACCTCCTTTTGAAAGGAATTGTTTTCTTCATCGAACCTTTTACATTTTTGCACGTATAATGTTTCAGTAAACAATATGTTCACAATACAAATAGTTACCCATAAATAACCTAAATATAACAATTAGACTAAGAACATGAACAAAAGTTTCGGAAAAAACGGTTTATTAACCCAAAAGGGTGTTATCCCAGAAAGACTATTAGTTTCGAAACGGCATTGAATCACTATCCAGATTTTTGCCACTAAATATTATTTCCCTGTATTATATTTAAATAAATTAAATAATGAATAATCTGCCTGAATATATATATGTTTCTCGTATTGTGAAAAACAACTGTATCTAGAGCCATCAAATTCTGAATAACGTAGCCCTCCATCTGAATATGTGCACCTGGAAGCCCAAATTTTAAATTTCGATTTTCTTTTATTATCTATTTCATATTTTGTAAAACTTTAATGATTCTCTGGTTAAAAAAAACTCAACGATTTCAAAACGAGCAGTGGCAATTCTGTGTGGAATAAAACACTTTTTATCTTCAGCGCGCGAGACTGTCTATCAGAAATTCTAAAGATATGCTGTTTTTGAATATTTGTAGTAACGTGCATGTGTGAATTAAATTTTAATTTTATATTAGCTTCATACGAATAGAGAATATTTGTTAAATTCAAATATATGTAAGAAATCTCTCCATATACCATCTCCAAGGAACACAAATTAAATTAAAAACCACGAAAGCAAAAATTTTTTAGAATGTAAATAGCATTTTAAATAGTAATTTCAACTCTTGTTTATAAATCGGCTAAGAAAAGTCTTTAATCGCAAAAATCCAAAACCAAATGTAAATTTTAAATATTGAATAAGCAGCTATTGTCATTGATCGCAGATTAATCGACTTATCAAAGGGATAAACCAATCTACCACCATTAACAACAACTAAATTAAGAGAAAGTGCCATCTTACTTCCAAGTAAGCATCAAATTATTTGCTAGATTTAAACCATAAATACAACTAATACTCAATCCAAATAAAGACATTAGTCCATTTAAGCCATAAGAATCTTATAAAACAAAATAGCAAATAACCTTAAAATTAAAGTTTCTTGTTAAGAACACAATAAATCTGTACGAGATGCTTACTTTAGAAGACATATCCCCTACACTCTAACATTCAAAAAAAGAAGTAAACAATTAAAAGGTAATTCAAAATCAAGAAAAAAATATGCATATATATGTATATATTGCAGTCAATAGGATCTTGAGTATTCCGATCAACAGCCTGTGCATATTCAGCTATCGACCGCTTGATCATCACTAACTCCCTGCCAAGCTGATGTAATTACGATGAATATATACTTTTTTTCGAAGCTTCGAGCTTCCTTGACCGTCAAAGCATGGAGGTTTTCATACCTTAGTGATGTGCTTATGATGAAAATACACATTCCCTCAAAGCTTCGAGCTTCCTTGACCCTGGAAACCTTCGAGAGTTGACACCTAGTTAGGTCATCATACCATGGTGATGTAATTATGATGAATATATGCGTTTTTAAACAAGGCAGCGAGATTTTTGCGATGGATCTATAAACACAAAGAAACCTGTTCTTTAAACTTTCACGCTTTTACCTAACATAAACTTCTTAAAATTGCTTAAATATTTGCAAAAATATTCTTGTTCCAGAATATCAGAGATCTCTTCGGCTTGCCATGTAACTTTATTTAGTGAATTTACCTCCCTGTCCTGTTGTAAGAATTTATCAATGCATTTTGATCAGGTGCAAACTTTCGCTTATGGGTATTTCAAATTTTGGGCAAGTTTTGAGTGGAAAAACAAATCTCCAAAATTAAAATAAATTGAGACAAAAACAGAACAAAAATTAAGATGTAAAAAGATCGTTGTTGAAAATGTTTATGAACAAACCTAGAATAACTAATAGTATAATAGTAGTAGGTAAAGATAATTCACGAAACCTTTATTCTCGTAAAAAGTACAAGAACAAATTTTATAACAGAGTGTTGTCGTATTTCACTTATTGTAAATTTAGACACGGCTGTGTAATGTTTATAATATGCTTTATAAAGAACATGCATGACAGGAAATACATGTATGGATTGGTTGTTATATAAAATAGTTAATGTGTATCTTACCTTGTATATTTTAACTTTGTAAAATTATTTAAAAAGCTTTGGCGAGCCGGATTGATAGTGCTCGCTGGCCATAGTTTGGTAACCCGTGGTATATAATGAACTTCAAAACGGTTCCGGTCTCCTTTACGTCCGTTAACCTTTACCTTCAACAAACGGTGGGCCAATTTGAATCAATGTGTAGGCAAAAATTGGCTGCGCTGGTCAGATCACCGAATTTAAGCTTTATGAAAATTCCATATAATACAATAATAAAAGTACTTCCTCTCGTTCTGTGGTTCATTAAAATGTCCGATTAACAACCTTTTAAATTTTAGATCATGAAAAAGGGCTCGTATTTTCGAAAACAGTACACCTACTTCTAAACTAAAATGTGTAGTGCTGCCATCTGTTGAATATTACTCGAAACTAACAACCGCACGAAAGTAATTATCTCCTCAGAAGGAGCCCTGTAATGAACAAATTTTATTACAAGAGTTCTTACATGTTTCCGAAATAATTTTCTGTACATGGAATGCAATATAATTAAGTCAATAATAATATTTTATTAATTAATTTATTCAACAAATTATAGATAAGCAATGAAATTTATTTCTGCAGCTCGCTTTAAGGAATAATAAAAATTATTCTCTTTGAGTTTTCACCTGTACAAAATTCCATAAGAACACTAAATAAATTCATTTTTGAAGATTTTTTTAAAAATTTTTATTTTATTTCGTATATTTAACTAGCAAGCTTCTAATGCTGTAACGAATGGAATAAGCGAACGCCTGAAATTCTGCCAAAAAGCTAATGTCACTGAAAATAATAATTAATAACAACTAGAGCAGACAACTTATGCCCAAGGCCGGCATAAGAACTTCGAGGTCCCCCAGAAGTTAGGAAATGGGGGCTTCCTTACGGGCTCAGCTTCAAAATTTTACTTTTCTATGACATAGTCAGGCTGTTATATAATTTATCATCAATAATTCTTTTATTTTGATTTTAGTCAATGAGCGATTTGGAAAAAAATTAAAGAATAAAAGTATTGCTTTAGAAAGACGATCAGCGCTAATTTTATTCAATATTTACGCATAATACCGATCCTTCTTAAGGTCGAAGCCCCTTCTAAACTGACCCCTAAACTGACCCTGTTCTTGCCACAAACATCCTTCATCTCGTGATATCTTAAAATTAACATCCAAACAGTTAGTAGAATGCAAATCATAAAATTAAATCATCATAATGAAGCTTTTAACATCTATGGATTGTATTCCTGGTATCTCAAAATTCACAATTTTACATATAAAAAATAAGAGCCTTACCTGTTCTTCGAAATAAAAGTCTTAAAAATTAAGATTTTATTTTATATTACTTTACAAATCGTTGCCATTCTCGTCTTCGAAACAAAGAAGAATTAACTTAAAAATTCTGATATTTTCAAGTTTTTTTTTTTTTTTTTTTTTTTTTCAAATACTGAGTGAGTTTTTATATGTGTTAATAGTTCGTATAAACAAACTTACTGAGTAAACATGCCAGAAGAGCAAAAATATCAACTAAAGATTTGGAGTCTTTACAATTCCAAGCAGTAACAATTTTTCACATGAAAATGGTAGGGTACGAACTGCGCCAAATTTGATCGAAGATACCCGTCCCCTCTCATCTAATCCACGAACTTCGCGACTTTTGCTGTCCCCTATTTCTTGCCCAAGAAGATTGGGTGTTACAAAAAGTCATTTATCACCATTAATGGGACATTCTATTGAGACTGACCTTTATTTTTCGTTTATCAATATTGTAAAAATTGTGCATGCAAAACAAATATTAATTTAAAGTCTGGCGTGTGCTAAAGTAAAAACAAATTTCTTTTACACTCATTTTAAAGTTTTATGATGCTTAAAGGAATGATGAGCCAGATCTTTTTTATTCTCTGTAAGAATTAAAAACTATCCAAGTTGTAGATTTTAGTCGCTGATATATATATATCAGTTTTGAATAGTAAAATTGATAGCTTAATGACATACACAAAACTGATACATAATCAACCTATCAAATATCAGATTTGTAGCGCACCTTAAATAAGTTTCTTATCTAGATAAATATTAACAAATCTTCTTAGATAGTAGAATGGTTTTAACTTTCAAATTTACCATTTTAGGTAAACAGTTCTAATTTAATTTAAAAAATTCTCTTTATTAAATCTAAAAATTGGACGTCTTAAGTCGTTCTAAATTCACTCTAATATTATTGCAATATATTCTCGTATTACGCTTTCCATTTTTAGTTATTGAAGTTATTTTAAGGTTATTTAACTTTGTTACAAATTCCATATTTTAATACTAGAAACGTTTAAATATTTATTCTGTTTTCCACATGATGTACTTTGGCATACATTTAATACACATTTAATATATACATTTAATACACATTTAATATATACATTTAATATACATTTAATATATACATTTAATACAATTTGTAATACACATTTAATTAATAAATTAATAATTATGAGCATCAGTAGAATTTTCATAATTAACAAAACAAAAAAAAAAAAAAAATCAAACTCCCTTATATTTATATCCTGGAATTTTCAGTTCCTTTTTAATCCATTCCTTTTTCTCATATTGTTGCACTGTACTCAAGTTTTCATGTATGTATAATTTATGTACTGCATTAATGTGAATTTATGTATAAATGATAATTTTTACAAATTCTTGCATCATAACTCTAGTTAACAGAAGATGTTTCTAACACCTTGGCAAAGCTTAATCTTCAGCATGTAGCTTATTTTCTAACCTAGTTTCAGGCTAAATTATATGTAAAATTAATTACTTGAAATTATTTGTTAACAATGATGGTCGCTAAATCACGCTAATAATATTTCTAACTGTTGTAATTTATAATGCAACGAGGTCCTGTGATTTATAATATTATTCATTTATAATTTTTTCAGCAGTATTGAAATTAATAGCATATACTGATAAATTATACATTTAGATTACAGTGTTTTAGATTTCCATTGCCTTCTTCATTCGTTTATGCTACATTCCTAATATTTCATAATGGCATACTTATTTGTATGGCATACTTTTTTATGTTTAACTCATTCACCAAACATGCAAATCTATAATTCAGCCTTACTTTTGTTTTTACATGTGCTGTATCTTCTACTTTCTTTAATATATTGTTCATATTGTTCCGCTTAATTTCGAAAGATCTTACGATCAAGCGGAAAATTCACTAAACATTGGTAGTTCGATTCGAGTTTCTAATCCCAGAGATCCTCCAGCAATTTTTTTTCCTTGTACTTATTTACTGTGTAAAAATGTAGCGTAAAAATTTCAGTTCATGAAGTAAAAATATTTTTTTAAATTTATTCTTTAAAAATATTGCAAAAATTTTCACCTTTACCCTAGCATATCTTTTTACAAATCCCTCTAATAAGAAAAAATAAGGAAAGATATTAACTCTGTTTCGTTTTGTGATTGATACCTCGGTGCAAATTATATGTAACCAATATTTTTTCCATCCAGCTAAGTTTCCTATGGCAATTTTTATTCCAGAATTTTCTTTTCCACACCATAGCGCTTTATGAGTTTTTCTATAACCATTCAATTTCTCTCTATGCCCTGCAAGTTTTGTATTTCTGTGCTACCTGTATTTTAATTACCTGTTTGACTACAGTACACATGTTTCACAAGTGTATTATTTATACGCAAATCTACCATAGCATTAAAACTTCAGTTATGCTGAGCTCCCATCGAAATTTGTTGTTAGATTGAATGAAATTGAGCTTAATGTTACTGTTAATTAGCTTGTTATTATTTAATTAATACATTTCTAATTATATGTTCAGATATTGCCAAGTATATTACTCAAACTTTTTGCATCCCAATTTTTAATTTTTGGTTAAAAAAAAAAAAACTTTTATTTACTGAGAGGCCTGACTGATTATATTAATTTGCAGTATTGTTTATCTAATTCCTTTCTTCTAGATAAATTTTAGAAAAATTTTCTTAGCATAATAATTTAAATTTATACGTCAGTGTTCCAAATGCATAGTAATGTTGTTGTAATAGATTTCATGATAAGCTTTTTTTAAATTTAACTAAATTTAATTTCTACAAACATTTACTAACAAAAAAGATTTGTAGCACACTTTAACACACTTTTGATATGGATTTTTTTGCATGCTAGTGAACTCTATAAATTTTCCAGTCTAGTTCAACATCTTGACTATTATTGATGTAATTATTAAAAAAAATGATGATTTGTATGGTTTATAAATTATTTAATTTATGATATTATTAATATGAAAGATTTTTAATGAAAGATTTTTGTAATGCTTATGTATGTTTACCAATAGTTATTTGTTTTCAATGTAAATTAAAACTCTAGCATATAGTTTTTTACAGTATTAGTCCTATGATATTTTTTTTACTTGGTCTTGTGTATGTATTCTTATTTTTATTTTTTTTATTTTCCTCTTATTGGCTTCGAATGTTTAAATTGTAACCCTGTAGGCAGCAGGGGAAAGAAATTCTGATTGGCGCAGTTGGACTATAGCTTGAGCAGGGGGGGGGATTTTCATTAGCGCAGTTGGAGGACACCCATGAAAATAAACGGAGCAAATCGGGATATCTTCATCAATTTATGTCCCAAATAATAAATTAACATAATTTTTTTTAAAATTCTCAATGTGGATACCACATGATTTCCATGTAATGCCTATTAAATTATACAATTTTTTTTTTTTTTTTTTTTTTTTTTTTTTTACTGCATTTCATTTAAAATTATTTTATCGAATTATTCTAACTTAATTAGTAACCGATCCCTCAAAGCAAGTTTGAAATGACACTAAAAACTGAAAATTTTGAAATTAAATATGCTAGTAAATTTTTATTGTATGGGAATCAAACTTCTTGTATTTTTATTTTTTCATATCGAGTATAAAACTTTCCCAGATATAAGTACAGGAGCTGGAAGATAGCATTAAAAGTTAGATTTCGTTATTTGTCCAAAATTAATTTGTTTTTAAATTCGACATTGCCAAAACACGAATATTTTCGTCATTTAAAACTCTGCAATATGACTGCGACCACCGACTGAGAAAATCAAATCCGGGTAAAAATTTTTAAGCTGTT